CTCCTCTCCTTCGTGCAGCAGTATAAGAGGTTCGGAATGCTCCCCGTGCACGTGAAACAACGCTGTGAGCGATATCAGGTTCCTGAGCTGCGCTCGTCATAGTTCGACCTTTTTCGAGTTTCTCGATGATCCTTCTTCGAGCCAGGCCATCCAGACGATATCTGCGGGATATGATGTATAGAAGGATAACACCACAGTACTTGGTAGCTACTGGCTGATTGGCAAGAAATTTTTTTTCGTTCCTATCAGCTGCCTCGATTTGTGCGGGTAGCCATATTTCTCGCTTTCTTCGAACTATTCCTTCACCAAGGGACTCTGTCCACCTTCCTGTGTATAACCGTCATAGGTCTAGCAATATAATCCTACACTTTCATTTATTTCCACCCAGTCCTCAATGTTTTATTTTACATTATCCATCTCGTCCCTAAGTTTTGCACACCAGTGTATTAGGTGCCGAATTCTCCTTCAAGACCGTTGCATAATATCAAGTTCCGCTAATTTCGATGGGGAGCCGTGACAAAGTTGCTCTGCAACTTTTGGACCTGAATGTGAGAGGTCACCTTACGAAAGGACTGGGCAGGTCTCTTGCCATCACTCTGAATTTGAACCACGGCGCCATACCGATCGTTCCTAATTGATTTTTATGATGATTCAGAACATAACAGACCATTAGTTACTGAGCTTACTCAGATATCTTTTTGTTGTATACGCCAAAAAAGGCACTTCTATATGATCATATTGCTAGGTGACCCGATCTTATCTGACCTCGATCTGCCATCTTTCAAGCTGTTATTACTCGCCAATAGATGACATACAGGAGTACCCAATCTTTTTTTTTTTGAAAAAAAAACTTTTGGCGGATTCTCTCTGTTTCAGAAGAGATAGGTTTAGTATAGAAGCAGTTGGGGCTGAGTGCGCAGCCCTTTGAAGAAATGTGAAAAAAAATGAAAAGAAAAATTATAACATATCGATTTTACGTGGGCACCGGTTGACTTTGAAGTGACTTTCAAAGCCTGATTTTCGATCCAAAAACCAACCGTATGGTGTAGAACAGCGTATAGCGTATGTGTTGTGTAGATAAAAGATGAAGGGCAAAGTTTTTGACGTTAAACATTCTCGTCTAGAGGATGGGCCTCACAATCGACTTCCATTCAGAATCGTAGCGGTGTAATGAGTGTGTATGTGGTCTATACATTGACTTGCGGTAGCCAGCAGATGTACAAATCAGTGCTTTTATCCTCCCAGACGAGTCTTTTACCAATTAATCGACCCCGGAGGATGGAAGGCTTGGTTAGCCTGGGCAGATATCGCCCCGGGAATGGGACCCGGGGTTTGTTGCGATTCGTGCGATTCTGGGTGCGCGCGGCAAGTTGCGCGGCGAAATTCAGTGCGATTCGGACGACTGTGGCGTTTGTCATAGGGGCCAAAATATGAAGTAAAGCAGGTTAGTTGGATTGTCCGACCCCACTGAAGTACTCTACTTCAAGCTCGTGCCCCAATAATAGACGCCAGAGTTGCTTGAATCATCGCGGATTTCGCCGCGCAATTTGCCGCGCGCGCCCAGAATCGCACGAATCGCACGTCCCCCTGGGACCCGTGACCGTGCGTGCGAGATAGTGCGACACTTGCCACTACACCACCTCCGCCCGGTATTGTGTAGAATTTAGGAAAAATGCCTTCTGTGTTATAGCTTTCAAGAATACCCTGAAGCAAGGAGGAATGTTGAATAATCAATGAAGTATGTTCTGGTGTTATCTGTTTTCGCCGTATATAGGATGAGGATGAAGTCCCGGCAAAAAATTTAATCAGTCTCGCCTAGAGTTTAAAAAGAGGAATCAGCTATTGTACGAGTCAGTGTTTGCTTCCTTCGAGATGAATCAAGTACCAGTTGCCTAACCCCGGAGAAAATGAAGCTTCAATGGTCAGGGTGGGTTTCACCCTTAGCTCGATTCGGCAACCACGTGCGTGACAAAAGGCCACTAGCACCAAATCATGTCAGGCCTCGTGATTAGTAAAAACTCACAAAAGAAGAAAAATCGGAAAAAAGACCTGTGTTTTTATAGTTCAGCATGTGCATTATTTCATCAAAGTTCTTGAAATACCAAACAAATTTTTTTCAATTTGATGAAATAGAAGGAACAAAAAAACGGCGTGTGGAGCACTAAGAACGAAAGGGTCGCGCACGGGAAAGCTACGTCGCGCGCGAAGGAATGTAGCAGAATGCAGCAGCAAGTAAGAAATACAGGAACAAAAGAATTAACAGTAGAATCTTGCTATAAGTGATAATCGCATAGCGATTGAGCAGTGTGAATAACGCTAGAACTGTTATAACGAGAATTTAGCAATTTTGCAGATAATAACAATAACCACAGGCATCATAGCTGAATTTTTGCTTTTGATTTTTGGAGTATATCTACCTTCCGCCCTAATTTGGACAGTTTCATTCCGTACCGGTATTTTATCAAAAAAACACTTGACCTTCAATGAACTTTCCGTCTGAAAAGAAATGGAAAGTGAGGAGCTGCTTCTCATCAGAATCCATCAGTAGCTGATTAAATTTCGAGTTCTCCTTGCCATCATCGTTAGCCATATCATATCCCTTTTGAATTCAGATAAAACTGAACAACTCCAGTTCGAAATTCAAAAAATGGTTGTTCAGGACCATATAGTCCACATGTGGGCTGGAGTCCGCTTTTTCCGCCGAACGCCAATATGCCAATGTAAATTATCCCGCGAAGGCTGCTTTAATAATTTTTCATAAAACGCGAATGGACAAGGAGAGCAGGCTGAGTTGTGTTTTTTAGGCCAAAGACTCACTTCATTTTTTTTTCAGTTCAGGCGCCATCCTTACTATATACAGGGTGCCCCAAAATTATGGGCGCCAAAATTCAGGAACTCCTAAGGTAGAAATAATCTATCAAATTTACTTCACCAGCTACTAGTTAGTTGCATAAGAGGGTTTCCTGCAATATGCATAAGTACTGAAGTGAAACCCCAGTATCATTTAGATGGAGGGGCTCATTCATTTTCACTTGCAGTCATTGGCACCCAAGAGGCGGAAAGGCATTATGGAAATCCTTGTGATTCTTATAATATCCGTAGAGATATGTAGCTATCAAATGATACAGAAAAGGAGATTCAGTCAAAGGCTAGCTAAGAAAGGGTAGAAAGGTCAGAGTTCCAGGGCTATTATAATGGACCACTTGAGAGTCGATCGTGATGTTAAGTGTCAAGCAAGCTCCGTTGCCGTGCCTACCGTATGCAGGAATGTCGCTTGAATTCCGATCGCAACAGACACTGCAGAAAGTCGCAGACCCCCTTAAGTGAGGACACGCAACCCTTCATCGTTGTCTCTGGCCAAAAAAATTTTACGATAAAGATATACTCGACGACCAAAAAGTTCGCGTTCCGGAAAGAAACATCTGACGTGCAAACTCTAACAAAAAGGTTGCTATAAGAACAGTAAAATGATGTTTTTTTAGGAAGTCACTGGCAAGGGTAAAACGCCCGTAGTTTTGCCGGTGCAGGCGTTTAACAAGACCAGTACTCGAAGAGCCTACTGATGAACGTAATGAGGCACTGATCTGACTACCTTTCCTGATACGATAGTTCTTCTAGCAGGAGGCTACTCCAGCCCACAGAGCCAAGCTAGCTCGCGAGTTGTGCTGACGACAGCTCAATTGGTATGGAGGAATTTCCATCCTGTTTCCCAGAACTTGACTGACTTGACTCCCTCGCATGGTTCCTACTATAAGAGGACCTTCCGAGTTGGTAGTCCCAGTTCGGAGCCCAAGAAAGCAAAACTGAAGACTGGCTGGGAAAAATTGGAGAAGAATACTTGCGTGCAACATGCTATCAGTTCGAGAGCAGGCTTTGGGCTTCTTTCCGCGCTCATAAGAAATATTTTGAAATGTGGTTGTAGCATGTTGTAGCTAATGGTGTTAGCTAACGTGCATGGAAATTCCATCGCTTTTCTCAGCTGAAAAGCTTTAAATATATTGCTATGTATTAGTACCCATAATTTCGGGACACCCCGTAGATCCTCGAAGAGGCTGATAAGCATCAAAAATCCAGCATCGAAAATCCAATGCTTTTCTAGTTGTTGAAAGATTTTACATAGTGGTAGAACTCACTGCGTTAACAAGTGTCGGTGAAATTTTGATGAGATCGAAATCAGGTAGTACGATTGGGGTCATAGTGACCACGGGGTACGGACTATCCTCTGCCCATCTCATCTGTACTTCTTGATTGTTGTAGTTGAAACTAAAATTGATTATATGCTGGTAGTGTTGCTTGCAGAAAACACAAGGCACTGGTAATCGTGCAATTTTTGGATGGCATTCACTGGCTTACCTTTCATATATCAGAAAGCATTCTTGTATATCTAATGGGAACAATTCGAGAGACATAGCACACGGCCCCTTCACATTGACACGCTTAAAAATGTGGCTATGATGTTCAATAACATCAAAAAACTATTATATAACGAATAAAATAACGATGATGAAGTGTTTTTGAGAAGGTATTTACTCACGTAGTTCACCCACACAGTGCCATTTGGGTAGAGCATCAGAAAGACGTTCCTGAAATAGAACACTCTCATGAAACTATTTAATGATGGAAGGCTGACCCTTTCGATTCTTCTTATATTTATTCGCCTTCGTAAAAGAATGAAAAACAGCCATTTTATAATCCTGTTCCCCCCTTGCCGAGGAAGAGAACAGCCAATTTTCTGTGAACGTTATTAAGCATCACTTCATTGATATTTACCACAATAGTTGTCCTCAGAAAGTTGACTAATCTGAAACGTTTTTTCGTGACAATTATGGAAATTCCATTACATGCGTCAATGAGTATTTAGTGTCCAGTTCGCGGCGATGTCAGGGCTAATCATTAGAGCTGTCTTTGTTGAGTTGAGAATGTCGCCAAAACTTCATGTAATGCTGATTTCTATCAGCCAGTCGTTCCCATTGGGTAATTAGTTTTTAAATCTGTTGAGAGTTGGAAGTGTTTCACATGGAGAAAGCCTAAATTCTCAAATTTAATATCGTCGCACGTACACTTTCTTTCTTTAACTATCAATAAGGGGATACTCGTCAATGTGGATGCTATGTTGGATTTTTTGAGGGAGCCTAGTAGCATGACGCTAACGTATGCCTTTCTTAGTCAAGAACGCGTCGACGATTTTGGACCTAATTGAGCGCAATAATCAAATTAGACTCACTTGGGTGAGATTCACCCTATAGAGACACCTTTTTGTAGCTGCCAGCATATTAAACATAAAAGGCCGTCCCGTACATAGTTATAGGGACACCTTTTTGTAGCTGCCGGCATATAAAGCTTAAAGCCTGATGGTCTTGGTGATATAATTATCGACACAATATCCCTAGGGGCTTGTTCCACATATAGCTCAATAATCATGGTACTGTAACTATGGGACATCTCGTCAAGATTGGGGTCCATGATGATTTAGTGGTACTTTTTCGTGTTATGTGGTGGGAGTGTTGGTGCAAAATAGTGCATTGGTACTGGAAAAAGCACGAATATCCGCAAATTTTAAAAAATTGACGGAAGATTTCAAAAATAATGGGTTCGGACGGAAGGTTTCGGCTTATCTGGTTTGCGTCGTTCCTAAATTTTTTCTGCATTTTATGAGAACTTCCTTGGATGAGAACTTCCTTGGAAACTATTGAAAGGCACGGGAGTGCTGCTTGCACTGCTCCAATGAGGTTCCCCAAAAAGGCTTGGCGCCGCAGAATATTGACTTCTTCTGCAAGACCATGTGCTGGCAAGCGGCGCAATGAAGAACAGTTTTACTAGTTTCAGGAATACGGTCAACGGGTACCGCACTATCTGACCGAACACCAAATGCAAATGCAGGTGGGCATTTTCACGCACAGCAGCGACCCCTGGTAGCGACATGTGTTCACGTGGGATGAAATGAGGGTTTGTTACGTCAACTAAAACTAGGAAGCGTCTCGAAGTCGACAAAACCGGAGCTCCAACACCTGAAAAAGGTGATATTCTCACGTTTTTGGAACTATGACGGTATCAACCACTACAATATTGAGTATAACGTCGTATAAGGTATAAGGTGCGTATAATGACAAGAGCTACCTACTCATAGCTACTCAATACATCAAAAACCCTCATGACATACAGCGTTAATAATCACACCTACTCCACGGCTACGCTTTTCCACATGGGTCTTCGGTCACACATTGTTGCCAAACACATTCTATGTATTGTTGAAATTGGCTAAACAACCGTTGTCCATTCCTCTGTTCCCAATGGAATTTCTATTTTTCAGGTCGTTGGATTATCACCTAGAGAACAAAAACTTGAAGGACGAAGGAAATCTCAAATCCGGCATACAAAAATTATTGGGTCAAAAATGTCCTAAATTCTGTGAACTCGGTATCTAACATAAGCACGCATTGGTGCATTACTATTGATTCCGTCGATTGATGCATTTACCACTTTTGAATGCAAAAATAAGAAAATAAATTGCATAAAAGAGCCGTAGCGTGTTTCAATATGGATTCTACAACATCATGAAGGCGAAAAGGCTCTCGGATTCGCGTGAAGAGCTAGCTAACGTCAATGAAAATGTCAACGCTTGCTTTCCAATCGCCATGGGTAAGGCATCTGACGACCGGTCGTTTGAATTTTCAATATGTATACTCCACTGTAAATGGTGCAGACTTCAAGAGGCCCTTAATACAGAACCTTGCCCAGACGTGATAAACAATAGAGACAGCATCAGAACCCTTCTAGGTTTTATCTCGAGGATTTTTCGACGCGACTACGACATACGTGTTCAGGGCAGACATTCTTTTCAGGAGAAAATCTTAGAGACTAATCCCTTTCGTCGTGGATTGTGCCTTCAAGGTCTAATACCAAAAGCATATAGCCCGCCCGATATTAATTGTAACTTCAACAAAGTTTAGAAGATACGCAATAGTAGATGAAAAAGGATTCCCAGATAAGAGAGGAAATCCGGGAGAAAAGTTTTCCACTGAAAGTTTTTCGGAAACCTTTTTACTTGTTTTCAGTACTGATCCTATCGGATTACATACAATTTATACCTGTATGTAAAAGAAAAATTTGAGTAAGGCGAAGAAACGGAATGAGAACTGAACTCGGACCACTCATTCTTGATAACTTTCTCGTGCTGTCGTTGTGGAGAAGGTCAAAAAAACCTAGTGGTGGACCGGAAAAAATTTTTTACTTTTCTTTTCTCTTCTCGTTGAAAAACTTACTTAAAGGGAGAATCATGGATCTCGGCGAATTTGCTGTTGATGAAACAACTGTTCGGAGTCCAAAGTCGATCAAGCACCTAAAAACATGAGCAATCAAATCCATTCAGAGAGATGATCATGGGATACTGTAGGGTGAGCCAGGGATGGCTGAATATATGCATGTTTCGTTTTCTCCTTAAAGGCATCGTTTACGATAGATTCAGGGTACCCTTTTTTGACGGGAATTCATAGAACTACTCTAGAATAAAGCGATAACAACGAAAAAAGCGCAAAAAACGATGAACAAAAAGAATTAGAAAGGGTCAAAGAAGAGCTGGAAAGGGGGGTTGGACGAGTTTCACATTGGAAGAACGGCGCATAAGGGAGTGTTCGGGGGAGTGCAGTTAGGCGACGCAATGTCTGCAATAGCAGACAACACACCCAAGCAGACAACTTCGCCCAATGCGAAAGTGATGAACGGCAATTAGATTTCGTAGTCAGCCTAGCGAGGGGCGGAGGCCTCCCGTCCCCCAATGTTCCTGCCCTTATTGTGCCCTATCCAGACCGTTTTCCGACCTCATTCCTGCCCAAATGGTATCAGAGTGGGCGTCGAATTCAAAACGTGTGCAGATCTCCGAAACCATTTTTTTTTTCGTGAACAGTGCCTTTAAACAAGATTCAATTCCCACTCCTTACCTCTTATGAGCTATTCTATAAACTGATTAGTGAGTTATTGAGAAGGTTGGCTTCTTCATGAAAAAGATAAACCGAGGAAAATTTTGTGATTGGTTGCTATGGAAATATAATTCTCTGGTTTCGGAAATCTCTTCCATATTCTGAATAATGATATGGCTAAACACTATATCTACAGGGTGTCCCAACATTAAGGGCGCCAAAATTTAGGAACTTCCATGGTTGAAGTAATGTATCAGATTCACCTCACTCGTTATTAATTACCAGTCGGTTCGCCCGGCTGACGCCGGGCTTCCCTTCACGAACAAACCTGCAGTGATTAGCTAACTCTCCACTCCTTTGAAACAAATAATAGCTTTCTGTACGCAAACTTTAACAAGGACTAAAAGGCAGTGCAAATGATATTCAGTGGAAGTAGGTACTTACCCCTTTGATTGGGAGCGTGGATCTTCTGCTCTCTTTCTTAAAGATAAATACCCATCAAAGAATCAACTGTCAGACAACCAAAGCCTTGGGCGGTACTTACAAGTTAGCGATGAAAACACCATTATCAGATGCCGCCTCAATGGACCCATCTCTTAACGGAGTTATCATTAGTTAGGAATTCCAGATAACTGGCGGTCGGTTGAGTTTTGCCGAATATGATATCGAACAAAAAGGATCCTCTATTAATTCACAAATCTTGCTGGGCAGCGTTCGTAATCTAATAGCGAGAATCAAACAAAATTCTCATCTGTTTGCCGTAGTGCGTCTAATGGGTCCCTGTCACTGCATTTACCACTCACTTTTGTTACCCAACTCTAGCGTCCCGTCTTATCGAATGAAACAAACTGAACGGTCAAAGCTGCATCGTAGATACAGAAGATGGTAGAATTTTGTTCGGTAGGTGGCCTATCTTCTTCTCTTATCATTTATTTTGGGCCCCTATCACCCACTACCTACTTTCCCGTCATATCCTACACCACTTATTAATATGCTGAGGTTCCACTGTTATTACGGAAAGTGAAACGCTACCAGATTTCAACGCTCTAGGTCAACGTTTTGCGGCCAAAAAATTCTATCGTACATGCCTTGCCCCTGGGAGCGGAGTCTGGTCCTGCGCCTTGCCAAAAGTATTCCCAACCTGCCGCCCGTTTTATTTCCAGATTAGAACTCTCTAGGTCCACGGGACCGGGAGCTATGAGTTTCCGGTCAAACACACACACAACATTGGCTGCTTTCATAGTCCGCCGGCCGGCTGGACGGCACGCACGCCGGCACGCCGGCACGCCGGCCGGTCGGCGGACTATGAAAGCAGTCATTAAGTGAAATCTCGATATCTTCTAGAAGGCTTATTCTATGCCACCTGCGATTATTGACATGCGAGAGGCGGAAAGGCTCTATAGCATTTCTTGTGATTTCTATAATTCCCGTACAAAAGCGTATTGAATGGTACAGGGGAGAAGATTCAATTGAAGAAAACCAGCGATGGGTAAAAAAAACAGTGCTTCCAAAGATGAAACTATTTAAAACGTTCAGTTTACGAGTTGTGTCGATCGTCATCCTGGGGGACCCATCAAAAAAACGGCAGAGCAGCAGTACTTATCGGAGTTCTCTGAATGGCGGATGCAAAGGCTTCATTGCCGTTCGTGTCTCATGCAAAAATGTTGCTTCATTTCGGATCTCAACAGATAGTGAAGAACCAAAAATGCAGAGCATTGCCAAATTTTTGAGTGGAGACATGCAGCCCTTCATCGTTTTCTCCGGCTGGGAATTTTTCACGACAAAACCTTCACTCAACAAATGAAACGAGCCCGTTCTAGCTACAGACATCGTATGTGGAATTTTTCCGAAAAAGTTGCTATTAGAACAGCGAAATGATGTTTTCAAGGGAGTCACTGGCATGGATAAGACGCCTGTGGTTTCGTCGGTACCGGCGTGAAAGTTACCAACGACCTCTACTCAAAGAGTTTACCTGTGGAATGAATGAAGCACTAATCCGACTCCGCTTCCTGGAACAGCTCCCAGTGTTTCTAGCAGGATGGTACTCCAGAGCCATAACCAACTTCGCCCGGGAGTGGTGCCGACGCTAGCTGCCCGATTTCATTAGCAAAGAGAATGACTATCCCGCTTTCTAGACCTTAACTCACTTGTCTCCCCCATATGGTCCCTGATTACGAGGGTCGGATTCGCTATCCCAGTTTGGTTTCCTAGAAAGCAAGACTCACGAACCGCTGGAAAGAACTGGAGGAGGATAAATGTGTGTAACATGCGCGCAATTAGAGAACGAACTTTGAATTCTGCCCGTTTCATGGGGGATATTTCGGGAAGTGATTGTAGCATGTTGTAGCACATAATTGGCGAGTGTGCATAGTGGACTGCATGTAATCAGCCCAACTTTACCGTTTGACGTCCTTGGGAATGGCAAAACGAACTTGAATCGTTGCAAGTTCAACTCGACAAGCCCTTGCAACGAATCACAAATTATGGTGAAACAGGGACATGAAATTTGCAGGATGCGAGCTAATAATTAGGTCAATTTTTTTCAATACTCCTAGTTTCTAGGATGGGAGCGTGTATAGCGAAGGACCAGCTCATCGCGTTAGAGATAGTTCGACTGATAGTGAACAATTACTCAAATTTCACACTTTTCTGGAATGTGCAGGCGGTGGCGAAGTCATTGCAAGGTAGCTAAACAATTATAGCAAGTAGTATCGATCCCCTTCATGACCCAGGGCAGGCGCTCTCTGAAACATCTTGGATTCACAAAACAAAACTTTGCTTGCTAATGATTACTCTATTTGGTATGGTGCAAAGTATTTCTGTCAAAAACCTGACAGTATAGAAGAACGAACCTGATGACTTAACGAGAGGTTGTGTTTGCAGGGTGATAGGTTTTCGAAATTCAATGCTGGATCGAGCCACATTTCGTTGATATAAATGTCCATCTAGAATTATTATAGAATAAACATTCCTGGTGTTCTCCGCTATTGAACGTTTTCTCAGACCTCGAAGTCATTCGTTATTTCGTTAATAGATGTGATTGTGTTGATCCAGAATTGGACAGATACCTTCACACCATCATCGTCTGAAAAGAAAATAGTTGCGGACGTCTTTTTTCTTTTCACGTTTCGCTGTGATAAAAACTTCCCATTGGTGATATCATTCTATTCCACCTATGATTCACTAAAATTATCCAAGAAGTAGTGATGATCAAAGACGGTGCAATCACACTGTCTGTGGTAAAGAGCCTGAAAGTGAAGTGAGGATTCCATTTTTGAAGAGCCTCTGCATAGACAACAGTCTCCTCCGAGACTTTGAAAACGCGATCCCGTGATCTGTAGGCGGTGTGGCGACGAGCGGCGCACCATCCTCAATCGCAGCAGTCGCTTATCTCACCCCGGATCAGTACCTACTCATCCACGCCTATCGCTCCCGGATTACTTATTACAGGATGGGGCAAGTGGTCTGGCAACGGTAAATATGCACATAAAAACGGTCAAACCGATGGATAAATGATACAAAATCAACAGCATTTATCCACAGCTATATAGATCGCAAAAACAAACAAGATCCCAAAGTGGCCTCCTTTGGCGTGATTACAGGCTGAAAGTCTCCTGAGAAACGCGTTGACGGAGGCACGGAGGTAGTCCTCGTCCAAACCCTCCCATGCTTTGGCGAGACTTGCATGTAGAGCATCCAAACTTCTGTGCTGAGTAGAGCAGGCCTTCATCTTAAGAACTGACCACACGGAGTAGTCCAATGGATTTGAGTCTGGACTGTTTGGGGGCCAATCGTTCGACGAGATGAAGTGCGTTGCGCACCAGTCCTATATCACCTTGGACTTGTGTTGGAGCTGAGTCCTGTTGATAGGTCTATGTCTGGTTGCCGAAATGGGACTTTGCCCAGGAAAGTACCTCTTTCTCCAAAACGCCTTTCAAATGAGTCATGCTTTCCACCTTGACTCCTTCCTCCGTCCGATGTGATTGCCCCAAAAACCATCAACGACTTAGGGTGTCCAGATCACTGAGTAATTCCTCCTTGTTGGCTGGCTTCCCCGGGTGTTCCCGCTATCATCCTATCGTTTGAGTGTTGAGGAATTGATCTGTTGAGAACAGGCATTAGTCTGTGAAAAGCATGTTGCTGTACCGTGCCTGCGAAAATCGCTTTGAGAGATCCTTACATCTTTCGAGCCTAGATTTTTTTTCATACGCTCAGTTAGCATGTAAGCTTTTCTAACCTTATAATAGCGACGTCGAAGACTGGAGACAATCCTTCCAACGGATCTATAGAAATACCCACCTCAAGAGCCATTTTTCTCTTGGACCTACGAGGGTGGCGGCGGATTTTCTCTCGAATGATCATCGCGATCTCCTTTGCCGTTGTTTTTCTTCGGTCTTCCACTTGTAGGCTTGTCCTCCATAGTTCCTGTTGCCTTGTACCTGTTGACATTGTTGTACACGGTTCTTAGGGGAATCTGAATCTGCTTGGGTATGGTCTTTGCAGTGCACCCAACCACATGGAGGTGCAGGATGAGGGCTCATTGGTCTTTGTCACCATTCTGTAAAATAGCATATTCAATAAAGGTCAATTTGTGGAATGTATAGAAGAAGACTTGCAACAAATAGTAGCACACACTCTCGAGATCAAAGGCTTAATTTCTTATGGGAGACCTGAAACGGGATTTAGCCAGATCACTCGCCGCACCGATCACTCGCCGCACCGTGTATGTACTTACTACCTGGGAGGGTGAAAGCAGCAGCACCTACATTAACTGGCTACCGCACCTCTTTATAGAGCCACATAGCCGCATGGCCACGAGGAGGACTGTAGAAGTGATGACGTTGATCATCCATAAAAATGGCATTGGACGCTATCAGTTCTATCCAATTCCTCGTGTTTCAGTAGGCAGTACGTCAATCGGCACGTAATGTACGCACGTAAAATCCCAAAAAACCTTTGCAACTATATTTTTTTTATCTCTGATGAAGCCAGCAAAGTCATCAGAAAATGTCTCAAAAGGGCGAATCTGGAAAATACAGTTGTCATTATAAACGTACCACTCTTGAATCTAAAAAAACGCCTGGTACGAAACGAGCAATATGACCGCCCATGTACCACCTCAAATTATGTGTGTGTCCAACTGGTAGGGAATGGAATTGCGCTATGTCTGGGGTGGTTTATGAGATCACTTGCCCTAACTGCGAGGATGAGTATATTGGTGGAACGTCAAGACCACTCCACGTAAGAATTAATGAGCATCTAGATGGCATGAATCGATCAAGAGGATCTACCGTCTTAGGAGCCCGTCTCCGGTATATTCTCCTCGAACGATGTGTCGCGCTCGCAGCACTCGCACGCGCTATGAGGCCACCAGTCCAAAAATGAACGGAGAGAAGAATGCTTAACAATTACGCAGGAACTGAGGCCTTATATAAGGTTGGCCTTTCCACAAGAGTCTGATGAAGACCAAACCCAACTGACCAGGTCCCATTATCGGTTGCTGGGCAAATTGAGAGATCTCTTAAGTCCTCTTATGACAGCACTTTTTGGAAAGGAATTTCCTCCGTCCCAGTTGATCATGGTTAACACTAAAAGTGCTGCATCTCATCCGTAAGCCTATTAATTTTCTACCTCGATCCCCGATTAAGAGCAGAAGCTTCCGGATTGAGATTGAGTGGAATGACTCACTTGGAATTCGAAACTTATTATAGCCAGTGCCATTGAGCAATTTGTCGATGATCGCAGTGTCTCGGGTACAGTTACGACGACCTTTCCGCCGACTGATGATGTTGCTTGTGCCACCGGTATTGCTCTGCGATGTTGTCGATGTCAGAAACTCGTCATCCATCGCCAGATTATAATCATTATCAATAACTATGCATTGCAGAATGGAGACCGATGAGAAAATAACTATGCACAGCTTCATCTGAAAAGCTTGCTCCCATTTGATATCATCGAATAAACAAAGAAGGAAGGCGATTCGATCAGCTAACACAGTGGAAACGATACGGAAATGGTCACCAAATCATCAAAGGTGGGAAATAAAAGCTATACGATTATGGGGCGAAGGTTCGTTGGATACCTGTGTTTATTCAATTTCCCCAGTCAGGAGTGATCCTTTCAGAAAACAGTAACTACGGTAACAGATGAATTTTCATGATAATACAATTATGTCACGGTAGAAGAGTTGTTTCGGAAGCTCGCTTAAGGGTTAGCACAACTAGGCATGAAATTATGGTAGGCGACATATCTACCACGTCTATCGTCCCATGCCCACGAGGAAAATGAAGCTCGTGTACAGCCGAGCTTTACTTCCAGAAAACGATACCACAGAGGCTGGTTAGTGGTAGACTCATGAAGCATAAAGCCACTGGTCTCGCCTGAAATGAGGTTGCTCAGATAGGCCTGTGTGAGACCTGTATACAGTCTTTTAAACCCACTTAAGAGACACGTAAGTAGATGGAGGGTTGTGATCAAAAGGGCCTTCTTCTGAGTCGGGGAACTTCAAATAGTGCAGTGATCAGAAAAGTGTGTCAACACTCACAGAAACAGAGTTTCTGCGGCTCAGAGGGATTGACCCTAAGAAGGACAAGAAGTACAAGAGGAAGAACAAAACAAGAACAAAACCAGAACAAGATTAAAAACAAAAACAAAAACGAAAACAAAAACAAGAGCAAGATGGTAGCATGCTGCATTGTTCAGGCTGAAGCGCTTACATATGCATTGAAAAGCCTTATAGTGAAAGGAAAATACGTGCTCAGATGAGGCTGCGATAGGAGTACATTGATTGCACTTCCCAAAAAGAGAACTAATCACACAGAGTAATTTGTTTTCGCACTGTTCGAAAACTGAATTACCTCAAGACTTCAGCCATGTCAGGACCACGAAACAGGCCGAAATCTATTGAATTGAAGCTAAAGGCCCCGCAGTTCCCGATCACGACCAGAACCGTCTAACAACCTTATTATTTGATCTTCAGCAGTATATGTTCGTGAATGGTATCTAGCTCTTCTTACAACATAAAGCTCTAGAAGTCCTTTCAATGAAAGGTCTTTTGAGATTGCGTCTGAGCTGCATTTCATACCGTCATAGACCCTTACTGATGAAAGATATCGTTCACTTTTTCTTTTGCTAAGTTTATGCCTTTCAAAAAAGCCTCTTTATTTGGAGGTTCGCATTATTGGGAAAGGGAATACTGCGCGGCGAAGGCTTGAATTGTTGGGAACGACAAGAAAGCTTGATCACAGTGATTTAGCCGTTGAATTGCTGGGAACGACCACAGAACTTTCTCAAAATTTGATGTGCATCACGGTTCTGCTGCGACATGAACGACGAATGGAGGAGGGCAAAGGCACCATTCTGGTGAACTGGGCTGCATAGCGGTTACGCGCTTGGCCCAGTACCCAGAGCCTGTTTAATGTAACAACTTAGATCCGGAACTAGACTTCCGCTTCTATCTCGGATTCTTCTGCTGACTGAATGGTCCTTCTTTTCTAGGAATGACTGCTGAATGTTATTCGAGTGGGAGAACCGTGAGTGCTGAGGAAAAAACAATGTCTCCTAAAGCGTAGTCTTCTAAATTAAGCAAATCTGAATAATGGAAACAAAGTAAACAACGAAATTCGAGTAAATGTAGATGACTGACAAATTTGATTGTGAATCAATCCAGTTCTCAGACGAATCTACTCAATTTCATTGTGTTTCTTGGCGCCATATGTAAAAACATGCACGAGTTTGAAAAGAATTAGGATAAAAGGATATACGCTTTGGGGCAAAGTATTCCCTCTAGGGGATTCGCTACCGATTTCGACTTCCATTCAGAATGGGTGACGGTCCCGTACTGAATGCGTATGTCATACAACGACTTGCGGTGGCCAGCCAATGTACGAATGAATCGTTGTCCTACCAGACGAAACTGGTCCAATTTTACGACACTGACGGTATGGATAGCTCAGTTGGCATGAGCGGATCCTGATATGGGGTTCGAAACCTTGATCATGGATGTGTGATAGTGCGCCACTTACCTCTACACAACCTCCGCCCTTGAAAAAAGTTAAAATTTATTACATGTTGTTCCGTTGATCATTGTCTTGACGTCCCGAGGGATCCATTAAGTAACCGTCCTGGTCCAACGGTCATAACTATATCGCATAACGGTCCGGCCCACCTGATCTTCAATTTCTTGGCGTATTCAACGGTTTACCTGACCTTCGACCATTGACGAAGCTTGGAACTGCGCATTCCCTTTTGAACTTGCGCGTATAGGAAAATCCCTAGCATCGTCCTTTCCAAAGCGCGTTGAGTAACGCTGACAGCATCTCATCCTGCCTCGTAGAGTCCAAGTCTCCGAGGCGCACGTCAAAGCAGGAAGGAAAGCAAGGCCGGAAACGTAAGCCGGATGTTCCTTGTCTTCCTCACCACTTCTTCGATTTCTTCAAACGCGCTCAACGCCGTGTGTTTCCTCCTGCTCACCTCCGGTGTTAGGTCGCTCGTCATATTGACTTCTCGGCTTAGATAAACGGACCTGAAGCATTCAGAGATGTTCGTTTCATTTAGCGTGAAAGGAGCATTAGGTACCACTGTTGCTCCTGAACATGCCTTTGTTAGG